GATTTATTGTAGAGATGAGGTCTCGCCTGCCCAGGCGGGTCTTGAACCCGCGGGCTCAGGCAATCCACTCACCTCAGCCTCCCAAGGGCGCGGCATTACAGGCTGAGCCACCGAGCCTGGCTCCTTTCTTTTTTTTAGGCAGGGTCTTGCTCTGTCACCCAGGCTGGAGTTCAGTGGTACAATCACAGCTCACTACAGCCTCAAACTCCTGGGCTCAAGTGATCCTCCCACCTCAGCCTCCTGAGTAGCTGGGATTACAGGCATATGGCACCATGCCTGGCTAATCTTTAAAAAATTTTTGTGTAGATGAAGTCTCGTTATGTTGCCCAGGCCGGACTTAAACTCTTGGACTTGAACAGTCCTCCCGCCTCGGCTTCCCAAAATACAGGTGTGAGTCACTGTGCCCAGCCCGTGTTTTTCCTTCAATGTGTTTTTGAGATGTGTCCTCACTGGTACATCCAGACATAGCTCATTTCTTTTACCTACACTATAATGTAGCTTGTCTGCCTAGCCCTTTCCACATGGATCGATGCCAGGTATTCACAGCATCCTGCATCTGCCTGCAGTCAGTGCTGCTGGGAGCTCCTGGTATGCCAGTGTTTCTCCAGGATTTATTTCTGGAGGAATCATGGTTGTCATGGGCTCTGAGCCCTTTTATCTTTTATTTTTTAATGTAATTAATTAATTTTTTTGAGTTGGAGTCTCACTCTGTCACCTAGGCTTATAGCTACTGCAACCTTGACCTGCTGGGGTCCTTTTATTTCTAAGAGAGGCCCAAAGGCTCCATCTGCCCACCATACCCCTGGAGATGGCCCATGGGGTGTTCCTTTTACCTTTGTTTCCTGAACCAGTCCTTCCTTCCCCAATCAGTCTGTGTGAGCTCCAGGGACCTGCATCCTTACCAACTCTTGGTATTGTCAAATTTTGTAACTTTGGCCAGATTAATAGGTGATGGGCTCTCTGTATGACAGAAACAAAGCTAAGGTGAGCGAGAGAACAGCAGGAGAAATTTGCAATTTTTAAAACATAAAATTGGCGGGGCTCGGTGGCTCAGCCTGTAATCCCAGCACTTTGGGAGGTCAAGGCAAGTGGATTGCCTGAGCCTACAGGTTTGAGACCAGCCTGGGCAACTTCATCTCTACAATAAATAAAAAAAAAGTTAGCCGGTCATGGTAGCTACTTGGAGCCCAGCAGGTCGACGCTGGGGTGGCTGTGAGTGTGCCACTGCACTCTAGCCTGGGTGATGGAGTGAGACTCCAACTCAAAACAAGACAAAAAACATAATTAATTACAGGCTCACGCCTGTAATGCCAGCATTTTGGGAGGCCACAGCGGGAGGATTGCTTGAACCCAGGAGTTTGAGTTCAGCCTGGACACCATAGCAAGATCTCATCCCTACAACAAATTAAAAAATTAACTAGATGTGTGCCACATACCTGTAATACTAGCTACTTGGGAGGCTGAGTTGAAAGGATTACCTGAGCCCAGGAGACTGAGGCTGTGGTAAGCCATGATTGTGCCATTGCACTCCAGCCTGAATGGCAGAGTGAGACCCTGATTCAAAAAAATAAATAAGTAAATTGTAAATGTTGATACCATATGTGTAAATCTCATCCTCATGGTTTGACTCTTCACAGTCTAAGAAAGCCTTCCCTGGCCAGGTGCAGTAGCTCACAGCTATAATTCCAGCAATTTTGGAGGCAAGACCTCATCTCTACCAAAAAATAAAAAAATTAGATGGGTGTACTGGCACGTGCCTTTAGTCCTAGCTACTCAGGAGGCTGAGGTGGAAGGATTGCCTGAGCCCAGGAGGTCAAGGCTGTGGTGAGCCATGGTTGCACTTCTGCACACCAGCCTGAGTGACAGAGAGAGACACCAGTTCAAAAAAAAGGATGCCTTTCCTAACCCAAGGTCATTACCAAGATAGTCTTTTCTTCTTTGTATTGTTTTACAGATATGTAATTATTTTTATTCCCCAAACTTTTATTTTATTTTATTTTATTTTATTTTTGAGTTGGAGTCTCACTCTGTCACCCAGATCTGCTGGGCTCCGGCGATTCTTCCTCCTCAGCCTTCCAAGTAGCTGGAACTACAGGCGCGCACTATCACGCCCAGCTAATTTTTTATTTTATTGTAGAGATGAGATCTCACCAAGTTGCCCAGGTGGGTCTCGAACCCGCGGGCTCTGGCAGTCCACTCACCTCAGCCTCCCAAAGTGCTGGGATTACAGGCTGAGCAACCGAGCCCGGCTATTTTATTTTATTTTATTTTATTTTTGAGTTGGAGTCTCACTCTGTCACCCAGACTGGAGTGCAGTGGCTGCTCCCGGCCACCGCAGCCTCAACTTGCTGGGCTCTGGCGATCCTTCCGCCTCAGCCTTCCGAGTAGCCAGAATTACAGGTGTGCGCCACCACGCCCAGCTGATTTTTTGATTTTTATTGTAGAGATGAGGTCTCTCCAAGTTGCCCAGGCGGGTCTCAAACCCGTGGGCTCAGCCAATCCACTCACCTCGGCCTCCAAAAGCGCGGGATTACAGGCTGAGCCACCGAGCCCGGCTCCCCAAACTTTTAATTTGGAAATAATTATTGATTCACAGGAAATTGGGGAAAAAAACCTAGCCCTTGTGCAGCGTCTGCCTGGCCTTCCAGTGGGAATGTTCTGTTCAGCGATAGAGCCCCCAGAGCCAGAACTGATGCGGGTGCCACCCACGGCTCTGTTTACAATTTCATCACTTCTGGAGCCTGTGTGCATGCGTGTGTTTATAGTTGTGTGCAATCTTATCACCTGTGTAACTAATGTAACCACCACATTCCAGATCCAGAACTGTTCCTTCATCACCTGGTCCTTCATGCTACTTTTTTTTTTTTTTGAGTCGGAGTCTCACTCGGTCGCCC